TCGATGACATGACAACTGATTTTAACCGTTGAGTATTCGTAAATGACAGCAGTTGATTTATTCCAGTTTTCACTTACGTAACCTGCAACACCACCTCGTTTACGGACACTCGCGGGGCGGTCAACCCGATACAAGTTATATCCATCCACCTGTAAAATTTCACTGGGGATTTCTTCATGTAGCCACGATTCCTGAAGCATAATAATTCCTAGGTTTTTGTACTCCTTTTTCTTTGTGATGTCTACTACCTCCTCGACGTTTCCTAACAGAGAACGAACATTGCTTGTTAAAATGAGAGGAATTTGCATTAGACTAGTGCTGCACTGTCTGAGAGCGACTTGCNCCGCCGTTTTGTGTTTTGATCATCCGCTTGAATTTATTTCTCACATTATTGGAATATTTCACAAAAGTTGCAGTTCGCGCGGTAACACATAACGATTTCATGAACATGCTCGTGTAGGATAGCATTTTGTGTTCTTGAAATTGATAAAAATGCGATTTGATGAAGAATAAATCCACAAAAGTGTAAATATGATTTTCGAGATAAATGATGTGTATTTTGATAAACGACAAAGACGTTGCCCTCTTCTTCTATGCGCCAAATCAATGATTGCAATGATAGGCTTTTGGGTGAGTTCAAACCCAGAGAACGGATTAATTAATTCATTAATTAAGGAATTAACGATTTCTATCGTGTACGAGTCCCACAGTCGCATATATGATGCTTGCTTGTGGTTTGCATAATACAACTAATTATGTATAAAAGACAATTAGCACTACTTACCTTTTTAAAAGATAAGATGTGGGTTGTTGAGTTACACATAGATTTCGTATATACTAGGATAATAATAATAATGGTTAAAATGAGTATGATAGTCCATTGCTCCCTGCTAATCAATAGAGAACCAGTCTACAAGAAGAAGAAAAACACATGATCAAATAACTGCCACAGAGCGTGAAAAGTTGAAAAGATAGATACCCCATCGGTGTGAGATTTTCCGGGTGATGGATGTTACGGTGACCTGCGAATGAAGCACGCGATTAAGAGCACTGATCAATGCCGAAGGGCCGATGGGACCGAAAAACAAACGTGTAAATAAGATATACTAACCAATGAAGCTCTGAAATCATCGAGCTAGCAAGTAACTAGTTCCAAGACAAGATAGTTCGCACCTTATGTTCCTTGTGACTGGATAGATTTCCTTCAAAAATTCTGTTTCTCATGTGTGTTGAAAATCTCTATTGTCAGATATAAAGGACGAATGCCGGACACGGTCGACTGGAGAGCATTCTGTGCCGAGATAGAACATGTTTTTCAAACCCCCGATCTGGAGAAGGATCCACTTAAAGAACCGGAGGTTTATGTACCTGAATCAAAAGTGAAACAGAATTTCCTCTCATTGGAGACGGCAAAAGTGGCTGACGGGGCAATTGTGAAAATCGCGGACAAGGTAATCTGAACATTCTGATTGATTAAGGTAACCCAATTTGAATGGTTCTATGTATTTTTATTGTTTAAGCCAGCCGGATTGGGTTAGTCTCCGTCCTGAAGTTAATTCAAGAAGCGATTTGGTTGGTCCCATTTTTTGGATGATTGGCAGAATCTGCGTTCTTTTTTTTACGTTTCCAATCAATCATAAGGAAAGGATAATAATTTGACTATTGAACCACAAATGAATTCGAATTAAAAAGAAAATCCGGGAGTTTTGCAGAACTCGCACATCACCTAATAGATCGAAACAATTTAATTCAACTTAGCATGAACAAAAACAAACATCAAGTATAGTAAAATCTTCCAAGTTCGTGCAACGAATACTTTTGAACCGTGTGCAGTTCGTAACTGTACCACAAATATACATAGGTGCAGACCGCTGTCGTTTTTATAATGCGTTCGGTTCGTGCGAGACAATTAAGCGCGGAGGGAACATGTCGAACTAGTCCCACATAACACATTTCAAACAGAACAACAGAGCGGTGAACAGGCTCGTTTTCCGAGATTCGTATTCATGCTAACACATCTCAATATATATCACNTAACACATCTCAATATATATCACTACATGGGCGATTATCGAGGCAGGTTCGCCGTCGGATGCTGGCTGCAGCCCAAGCGGTGGGCATTCGTCTGCACAACCTCCTCTGTGTGCCCAAAAACAATTTGTGCGAAAGATAAAGCCTTTCTGGTCCACTCCACCCGACACACTCTTTCACGAGTAATCTCCATGATTGCATGAGTCAGCAAACAAATGTGATCATGGTGAGCCTGATTTCCGTTCTTACCATCAAATCGTTTCTATAACTTTTTCAGTTTAAAATGTCCGGAATCCAATTTAAGATGTCACCGTATGAATTTAAGATGTCATGTTGCCATGTGGATAGTACCTTGAACAGTACAGAGTGAAAACATAGCAACATGACGTCTTAAATTAATACTCGGACATCTTAAATTCAAATTCAAATTTTTCTTATGGGATATAACTTACAAAGACTTCGCTTTTGCAAATCCCATAGGGTGTT